GGGGCTTTATGGGCCTGTGTACAAATTCTTGGTGGCTGCAGGACACTACTTGTGCTCGCCACCGCACCAGCTTGTACTGCACTTATGAGACTTGCCACGTCACCAAGTGATTCTGCAGTGCTGGTATAAAAAAGACCAGGATGTACTAGGTCACTGGTGCTCGGCAGTTCACCAAAAGGTAGAGCGGCACTAGTACTGGCACTTGGCTGCATATGAGACAAGTCATGTGATCCTAGCACTTCAGCTTCACGGGGTTGGGTATGCCTGATCTTAACAGGGACCTCTTCTCCATCGTTCGAGCTACCTCTTAGGGTGTCGCTGCTGTCTACAGGTTTGTATTCTGGGGCTGATTGTGTCAGGGAGTCTTCCCCTTCGCTCTCACCTGACATGCTTAGAATCCTGTAGGCCTCTTCCCTAATGTACCTTTTGTTGGACATTTTGGACTCTAAATTTACAGGTACCTAGTGTGACTCACAGGAAAAAGAGCACCTGGCTGTCAGGGACTGCTTGAACCGCTACAAAATTATTTAGCAAGTGCTAACAGAGATCAGGCTTGATTCTGTGAACACTGCAGTTTTGTGTGCAATGTATTACAGGTGACAGTGATCAGAAATTATACTGACACTGCACTTCTTGTTAGGGGTGGGGGAGTGGAGGGGCTGAACGCTAGTGCTGGCAGCGAACACAGATGATCCTGCTAACACTGCGTTTTTGGGGACACTTATACTAAGGGGGCACTGGTATAGTTTTGTTCATGATCAATATATTGATCCGTACAAACACTATACTAGTAATGACGGTGATTAGCGCCCAATAGCATGAGTGCCATAGTGTGCGGGCAATCTAACGCTAGCTGACCCTGGCTGGGAGGGACGCTAACTGACCCTGATGCTATCTGATATCGCTAGTGGCACTAATACAGTGATCAATGAAAAATACTGTACACTGACACTGTACTAATGGCACTGGCAGGGTGGCAGGGGGCAATCAAAGGGTTAAATGTGGCAATTAAGAAGTTAAAATGTCTCTATCTAATGTGTGTGGGTGCAGTGTGCTGCTTTTACTTACGTGTGACATCTTTCGTCTCTCTGGAAGAAAATGGTTCCAGGGAGAGAAGAACCAGCTAAATCCTGTGCCTGTATTTATAAATACAGGCACAGCTCTGCATCTCCATTCGCTGTAGGGGATTGGCAGAGTCCTGGCCAAAATCACTGGTCGAGACCTGCTGACATACACCTCCTACAACGAATGACAACGGGGGTCAGCAGGGGGGCGCACGCATGCGCGCCCTAAACCCGGAAGAGCAAAGCAACGTACGGGTACGTCGCTTTGCCTGCAACTACCGCCCGTTCACAGTACATTGCATGTGGGTGGGAAAGCGTTTAAAGTTTACATATTGTAAACGTTGCTTATCCTGGAACTGGAATGCAACTTTGGTGCAACTTTGATGCAACTTTGGATGGGTGAGACTTGGATGTGACTTGTCCCTCTGCAAAGTCAGACCCACTGCTGCATCACTGCTGCATGTAAAACATTTAGGTACGACTTTTCATGCAACTTTTGAGGATTACCATTGAAGTCTATGGCCCTCAAGTTGCATGAAAGTTGGACCAAAGTAGTGCATTCACTACTTTAAAGTCGCTGGAACTTTAAGTCGCACATATATGAATTGTTATCATTGGAAAAGTCGATTTATCATTCGACTTTGATGTCTAAAGTCGCGTGACAAGTCGCACAAGTGTGAATGGGGTCTTAATATAATTATTCCAAAATCACTTCCACAATATGTGAAAAAAAATTAATGCATTTATACAAATCAACATTTCCTTACCTTGTAATACCTATACTTTGCCCCAGATTGTGCTCTTTACTGGCATACTATCCTTAATATCTGTAATAAATATTATTTTAAATGCAAATTTTTTAATTATAGCATCTCTTGTTCACTTGAAATGCTAAGCCCCCTGCAAATGTTAATTTGTTTCTGGCATTTTTCCCAGGATTGGGATATGTTCACTTACACAAGTTGTTCCACTTTAGTCCTACCTATGTGTTGGTGTTTTAATTGCATTTTGTTAACAAACAGCTGCTTGCATTTGGCACTACACCAGAATCAGGGGGGATGCCTTAACCACAGAACCCTGGTTTAACACCAGCTCAGGATCATCCTGTTGATAATAGGCTTTCTCACAGTGCAGACAGTAAAGAGATAACTATAGTGATGGCTGGTACGTAATCATAGTCCCAGCTGTACCTCATTTGGAGGGAGAGTCTCTCTACTGGATCTGAATCCATCTGTCCTTCTGTCACTTTCTTTCTTCACAGCTGTGTCTCTTCTGGTCTCGTATACCATCCAATCTTTCCTGTAAATTATTGCGTGTTTAAACATCAGTAAACAAAAGTCACTTTCTCCATTAGTATGATTTAATTGGTGTGAGAGAAGCAGCTATATTTTTTAAGGCACTTTGTTTTACCAATTTTGATTTTAGTAGAAAACAATCATGAAAATATAAGGGGAAGTACTGAAGGTTTTTTTCTCTTATATAAAAAGATAAAGGCATAGGGAGGTCTAGAAAATAAATTTTGTCTGTAGGTTTTGGTGCTAGTGGTGTCCCAATTTTCCATTTCAATATGAAAGTTGGAGGTATGCATTATGCTCAGCCTGAAGTGATCCAAATTAGAGACTTGTAGGGGAAGAGATGGACAGCAATATTGAGTCAGTGCCAGGTTATGTATCTCCAAACATCTGTCACCAGAACAAGTTTACCCATTGGAAGATTTCTCCTCACTTCCTGTTCCTGTGATGACTACAAAATTTTGGACTTGCCATCACTTCCCACAGCAAAGACAATGGTCACCTGAACCCATGAATTCCCCCAGCAATGACAAACACAACATCAAGAACCTACTTGAATCAGAAGATTAGAGTGCCACACCAAAAAATTGAATTCCAGATAAATAGGTTTTATTCCAGATCTGTAATTCAACTTGATAGTCAACAAGTTTTGGGGGGGCACACTCTGCCCCCTTTATCAAGGCTTAAGGGAGCACAGCACATGGTGAAAACTCTGGCAGTAGGTAAAATTTAATCAGTCTCAGTCCCTGATAGCAGCAAAGTTGTTGCATCGCACATCAGCTGATACTGGGGATCGAGACTGATTCAATCAAATCTACTGTCAGAGTTTTCATCAGCTGTTCTCTCAAGTCCTGTTGAAGGGGCAGAGTGTGGTCCCGAAACACGTTGACTATCAAGTTGTATTACAGATTTGGAATAAGATCTTTTTCTGTGGAATCCATCTTTTTCGGTGTGATTCTCCAATCTCCTGATCCAACCAATATGTTCACAACAAGAACGCCCCTTGGAAGTCCTTCGGTGTATGGAAGCAGCCCGCACACTTCCTAGATACCCCATAGGGATTTAATAGTATAATATTACAATAAATCATTTGCAGCTAATAAGTAATATTTACTAAAGCCTGCCATAGATGGTTCGAATCTTGGACGGTTCAGCTGTTCTCTTAAGCCCTGTTTAAAAGGCAGAGTGTGGTCCCTAAACACGTTGACTATCAAGTTGTATTACAGATTTGGAATAAAATCTTTTTCTGCGGAATGCATCTTTTTCGGTGTGATGCTCCAATCTTCTGATCTAACCATTATGTTCAAAACCCGAAGGCCCCTTGGAAGTCCTTCAGTGTATGGAAGCAGCCCACATGCTTCCCAGATACCACATAGGGAATTTAATAGTATAATATCCCAATAAATCATTTGAAGTTAATAAGTAATATTTACTAAATAGATGCCATTCAATCTTTTCTCTGAAGCAATACAAACCTGATAGGGTTCTAACCCCTCACCAATCTATTTAAAAATGTTTTGTTTTTACATACAGTTTAAAGGAAACATATTCTTACAAAAAATTGAGATGGCTTTCATTGACCTCTTCTTTAAAATGAACAAATAAATCACTGTAATTTAAATCATATGTAACATGAATGTTAGATTCACTGCTTACCCCTAAGTGTTCTGACTTCATTATATGCATGTTTATTTCCTTTAGTAAAGAGTCAGTCATAGTTTAAAAAAGTATTATTGTGTTTTTACATGAGACTACTGGTCAATCATTCAGTTGTGTGCAGCAAAAACATCCCCAATAACATACTGGGTCAGTTCCCTACCCTAATACTGTCCAATTATTTATTCAAATTATTTCCAGTGTGAATTTACCCTTTCATTTTTAAAATCTTCTGTTCAGATAAAAAAAATACTTCTAGCACATGAGGCTGATAATATGCTGAACACAGATCAGGAAACTTAACCACTTGACCTCCAAAAGGTTTTACACCCTTCATGACCAGAACATTTTTTTGCTATACTTCTCTGTGCTACTTTAACTGGCAATTGTTTGGTCATGCAACTGAACCCAAATTAAATTAATATATTTTTTATATTGCACACAAATAGGGCTTTATGTTGGTGTTGTTTAATCACCACTGGGTTTTTTTTATTATATATTATATAAATAAAAAAAGTCCAAAATTTTCTATTTTCTGTTATAAAACGTATCCAATAAATAAAAAAAACAGATGGTATACTTGTAATGGCAGTGATCAGTAACTTATGGTGGGATTGTGATAGCGTGGTGGGCAATTTGGCACTAATAAACACTGGCTGGGGAGGACATGACTAACTGACAATGACGTCACTAGTGACACTAATACAGTAATCAGTGGTATTACTATACAATGTCACTGTACTAATGATACTGGCCGGGAAGGGGTTAACATCAAGGGGAAATGAAGGGGGGTTAACTGTGCCTAACAATCTGGAATGTGTGCTGCTGTTACTCACAGATTTTGCTTTTTCGCCCTGATTTTCAGGTTGAAGAAACAGCCAGATCGCTGTTCTGTATACAGAGTTCTGTAGTTTGCAAACACAGAACTCTGTGCTGTGATTGGCCACAGCCAATCATCAGGTTTCAGCCTAAAATCATTGGCTGAAACCTGCTGACAAACGTGTGCTGTGGCCAATCACAACAGGTTAGCAGGGGGTGCGCATATGCGTGCTCAAAAACCAGGAATTTCACCACAACATACAGGTACATCACGGTGCCTGGTGCTGTGCTGTGCCGCCCACTAGCAGCAAGTGTACTGTTAGCGGGCGGCAAGTGTAATGTTATCTAAAAAAAATGCCCATAGACCACATAGTTACTTTAAGACAGAGGGGAGAAGACTGTGTGCCACTAAAGGAAGGTGCTCATTTTAGTGAAAGAGCCTAGGTAATCTATTAAAGGGTAACTCCACTTTCATGGGGAAAAAAATAGCAAATAAAAAAATATAATGTATAAATTTGTGACTTAAGTCATATTGTAATTGAAAGCTATTAAAAGTTACCTTTCCTTTTCAATCTGCAGCACTGTAATTTTCTGTAAAATGCAATGCAATATTATTATTATTATTATTATTATTATACAGTATTTATAAAGCGCCAATAGTTCGCTCAGCGCTGTACATTACAAAGGGGGACAGAACATGTGACAGAACAATACCAATACAATGTGATACACGAGGGGTTCGAGGGCCCTGCTCTTTCAAGCTTACAATCTAGGAGAAATATGGCTACCTGGAGGGTACAGAACACCCCCTGAAAATGTAATTTTCTCCTTGGCTCACTGATTTTACCAGATGTCTGCACTAAGATACAAGTAAGATTTTTGGCATCCCCTGCAACAAAAATGTAATTTTTGGTGAAATACTCCCAAAAGTAAATTGCGTCTAAAGGGTTGCAGATCCGGCCACATTTCTCATTAGAGCCCTTCAGGTGTATCAGCTAATTGTTAATTATAAAACCAGATTCCCTCTGCACATAGACAGAGACAAACAAACAGTTATTACTTCAGAATAACAAAAGGTAGGAATCTGCAACAAAGTGTGAAAATCATTGGAATGTACCAGGGGCGGACTGACCATTTGGAAACTCGAGCACTGCCCCTGAGGGCCCGGGGTCAGTAGGGGGCCCCATGAGATGCCCCTGGTACCTTTTTCATAGGCTTTTTTGAGTTTGGGCAAAGACACAGGGGCCCCATAATCCCCCTATTGCCCGGGAGCCCCATGAGTTGTCAGTCCGCCCCTGGAATGTACATAGATCACCCAGAGGAGAATGTTTTTTCTTAGCAAAAGTGGAGTTAGTTTTCAAGAAAAACATGAAAGGAAAAGTTCCAGGATTCCAGGATAAGCAACTTTTGCAAAATGTCAATTTTAAAGGCACTGCCTGTACTTCTACTCTTAAACAGTATTATTATATACTTCATTTCCCATGGGCACTGTCTGTACCTCTACTCCAATATAGTAATACACATCATTACCCATCATTGCAGATGAAGGTCAACATCTCAAATTGACATACTGAATACAAAAGTAAAGAACACTTTTTAAGTCTGTTTTTTTTAAATATAAGTATAATGTTGAATGTGCCCTTTAATGTCATCCTCACACATTGACTTTCAAAGATGTCCAGCAAGAATGTTCTTCCTCTTTGTTTTACAATATGTAATTACATAAATGCCGTCACTTTGTGTGAATTGGAAGATAACGACTTGTATTTGCCCTTTATATTAAATTATGCAATTATGTGTTGAAAACACTGAGTGAACAATTAGGATTTATTCTGTTTGACAGGTTTAAAGTGCAGTAAAATATATCAAAATCCAAAATATTTTTTTTTTTTGCTTTGAATAAAATGTTAAAATCTTTGTCAGAGTTTGATTGCATGTGTTCCCACTAGGGAAATTCTTCTTCTCCATTTGCCCTGGTGACCACTTGTCTCTGGGACAGAAACCCAATGCAGACCTAAAATGATAACATCTATAAACCTCATGTCAGGAAATAAGTGCACTAGAAAAATTCTAGATGAGTATAGGAGATGACACTCTGGGGAATTCATAAAGGGTATTGTAGACCCTTTGGGGCGCAGCACCAAAATTGATGGTGTTTGCACTTGATTCATGTACCTATTAGTAACAGGTATAAGAATTTAGTTGGTGCACACACTAAGGTCAGAGAGTCCAAATAGTTAGGGGGGGGGGGGGGGGGTTGTGCTATCCAGGTATTTTATACCCAAACTCTTTGTTCACATGAAAAAAAATCATTATTTTTTGCTAGAAAATTACTTTGAACCCCAAAAACATTATATATTCTTTAAGCAGAGGCTCTAGAGAATAAAATGGTGGGTGTTGCAATTTTTTTTTTATGTCACATAGTACTTGCAAATATTTTTAAAAGATGCACTTTTTTTTTTACGTTTAATACACAAAAACACAATATCTAAAACAACAAATCACCTGCACTCCTATGTGATGAAACAATATGTAGAAAAATATGAAAATAAAATTCCTAAATCTGCTAAACAATGCTGCTGTTCAGAAAATGCAATAACACTAACACATAATATATGATAAAAAAAAACACAGAAAAAATGAATAATCAAATCAAATACATAAATAAATAAAGTCCATATCTTACATGTTTTGTGATGAGTGCTCCAATAAATAAACACATGCTCAGAAGAAAAGAAAGTCCAAAATTTAAATATCCCGTGCCTTGAGACAAAAATTATTTCACCACGTAGAGTCAAGTGAACCCTCCCTTATACTCTCCATACTCACCAGATATGATGGACTCCTAGCTTTGTGGGATTAAGAGTCAAAAATGCATATTTCTGGGGTAATGTGCTCACAGATATATCCAGGATTCAATAGAGTGCCCTGTAGGTCTGTGAGGATGCCCTGTAGGAGGGGCGACCCATGTTGACACAATTTCCAATATTTTGTTGTTTTAGATATTGTGTTTTTGTGCATTAAGATGACTTTATTTATTTATGTATTTGATTTAAATATTATATATATATACATACACACACTGTATGTTGAAATATGTTTTTATTACGAATATATAAAAAAAATCTGAAGAATATATTTTTTAAAATATATTTTTTAAACATATATTTGTTTAAAATCTATTCTTCAGATTTTTTTTAACATATAAAAAAGTCATTTTAACATATATTTTTACATATATTTGTAAATGCATTCCAAAAATGTAGATTTTAAAGACATACAGTATATTTGAAATGTATTTTTAAAAATATTTTTCATATATTTTGTAATAAAAACACGTTTCAACATGCAGTATATACATATATATTTATTGAAATATATTTTGAAATATATTGAATATGGCCAAAATTGTAGCATTACAAATAGATGGCAATATATTTGGGAAGAATATTTTTAAAATATATTTCAAATATATTTTTCTTCCATGTGGGAGGTAACCCAAGTTAAGTAGCTGTTTAGTATACTTATGCATATCACATACACTGTAAATGCTTATTTGCTAGAAGTTAGCTTGTGAATTTTAAAGGCATACAGGTATTTTGTAAAACTTGGTAAGCTATGTATTGTCTATCCTGCAGTTGTATGTGTAGCCTTTTTGTTTAGTAAAGCAAATATTAATACACTATAGAATTTTAAGCTTCTTTTGTTTATACTACAAAAGAACTTTAACCAGTTCCCGCCCGGCCAATAGCAAAATGATGGCCGAGTGGGACTTTTATAAATTCAAGGTCTGCGTCATATGACGTCCTCCCATATCGCACCTCGCGCATGCCCGCGGGGCCATGCTGTAGCGATATCTGTCATCAGCTGTTTCCCTCGAACAAAGCCAATGACAGATCTGTGTACCGGCCCGTTGCCAGTGCCATGTAACCTATGTGATCAATCGAAGCAGGTTACATGACAATTGTAAACAATGGAAGGCTTCCTTTCATGTCATCCATTGTATACAGTTGTGTCACTAGCTGTGATTGGTCACAGTAATCACATGATACAGACTGGGCCAATGACAGCCCATCTGTGTCATTTCACAATTGGCAATTCACTATAATGTAAAGCGCTGAGCAAACTGTTGGAGCTATATGATAAATCCTGTATAATAATAATAATAATAATGATAATAATATAATGTATATTTTACTGGAATTTTGTGTTTTATAAACTGTTGTGCTAATGTTATGTGACTTAACAAAATTGAACTATCACTATTTTATTCTCTAGGGTTTCTGCTTTCATAAAATATAAAATGTTTGGGGGTTTCAACTTATCTTCAGGAATAAAACTTTTTAACCTCCCTGGCGGTATTCCCGAGTGTAGCTCGGGGTAAAGTTTCAGTACCACAAGCGGTAACCCCGAGCTACACTCGGGCTTACCATGCGGCGCTGCTCCGGGATCCCTCAATCACTTACCTTGTCCTGCGCTCTCGCGATGTCCCTCCTGCAGTGTCCCCGGCAATGTAATCTGGCGGATGCCGACATCTGTCTTCTGGGTTCTGTCCCCTGCGAGTGTCGGGACGTACGGGGGACGGAATGGTGGGAAATTTGAAAATGACAAAAGTGACATTCACTAAATTCACTAAAATCACATAGTAAAACATTACTGTATCAAACCATTTCACATACATTTTGTCCCGAGTGCTTTGTCCTGTGCCCTGCCTGCATTTTTACTGTTCTTTCTGCCTGGAAACTGAGAAATGTCCATGGCGTCCAAAAAGCGTCCCTTTAGGTCAAAAGCGGGTTTAGACCAGCTAGAGAACAGCGATAGTAAATTAGAACTACTTGCAGAATTGAGTGATAATGATTTGTGGGGAAATTCGTCATCAGACACTGAAAACGATTTTGCGACTTTGCTCAGTGATGTGCGAACTTGGCGCTATATTTCAAATTTCAGTGTTTTTGGTTTGATATTATTGAATTAAATTTATTATTATATTATTATTTTTTATGATTATTTATTCAATTATAATTTATGATTTCGTGTTTCAAGTTTTATCCTACCTGGGATGTTTACTAGACTCTTGTTCGGACAGATTTCAGTGAGTTAATCCTAAGAATTACAGGCGTACAATAAAAAAAATACATATTTCCATGCAAAAAAATGTACCGCTTTGAGCACAGAAATATGGAAATAATCAGACCGCTAGGGAGGTAAAACTTGTGCAAAAAAATGCAACAATGGCTCTGGGCTAAACAGACTGACAGACCTCA